TTCGGTTCGGTTCGGTTCCGATTCGGTTCGGTTCGGTTCGGTTCGGACATTTTGCCCAGCCCTACCCGTGTTTGGTTTAGATAAATCATATTTTTAGTAGTTTTTGTAAAAATCGTTGGAATACATGGTTAAAAAGTTGTAGATCCCATAAATGTGTATTTAAAGTAAATGGTTGATTTTGACTTGGATTTTAATCATTTTTTTTTAGTTGAACCAAACAGGGACTAAATATCTAGAGAGGGAAATGAAGTCCATGATTACTTTGGCTAATGTTTACAAACTATTTACAATCGGTAAAACCCCTTTTAATCCACACCTATGTTGATCACTTGCCTAGGGCTCGAATATGGATGTTTGGTATTGGTACATATCTAGGAGTTGAATCATTTTTCTCATAAAACTTAGGATACAGGGATAAGGCTAAAATAATATAAAATTTGGACATGGACATGTAAATAAGTCTTACAACCATAATTTTTTTAATAATTATATATGTGCTTTTATGGAGGTTAGCATTAAATGGACTTGATTTCATGCATTCAAAATCTTGGTTTTACCCATGTTTGATTTGCTAAAAATTATATTTTTAATAGATTTTTATAAAAGTTGATAAAATGTGTGATTGAAAAGTTAATCAAAGTTGCAAGTAACATGAAATTTATGGTAAAAAATGAGTTTGAACAAAAATTAGTTTTAGAAGATAGAGGCCACGCATAGGATTAGACCATTTATAAAATGTATCAACGGACAAATATCAAGCTTTCTCATCTTATCCATTTTTGTCATTTCATTGGATATAGAAGTGTGTGAGAAAGTCATGCAAAAACTGCTATTATATTTTTTGTATTCTTGATATCATCCTGATGACTTGTAAAATACCCGTTTTCAAGTAGTTACTATCAGTCGTTGGTCACATGAAATCGAAGTCCCTTAGTGTGATGACCACTGTAGTGAATATTTTTGATTTGGCCTAAAAAAGGTGACAATTACTCAACAAGTAAACGTGTATAAAAGTCAAAACTATTGGAGAGCCTGAATATAAGTACATCTCACAAGAAATTATGCACATAACAGAGAAATACTGAAATGTTTCTATAATATATAGACATACGATTTTTCAAAAAAAGTATTGACACGACATGTCGTCGATACGTTGATTAAATTTTTTAAAATTCTTCATTTATATAGACCTTATTTGGTCTTCATTACTTTCATACATTTTTCTCTCTTACTTTCAATCACACATTTTTGAATAAAATAATATTACACGTAAAATAAAAAAATTTCCTTATTTTTTAACCATAAATTCTCCATCAAATCACTATTACAAAATACATTTTTGACCAAATAAAATAGGGCTCAAACATACTCATAGTATACATTTAGTTTTATACTTTTTATTAATTTTTTTTTTAAATTTTTTAAATTTGAGTACCTATTTGTTACTATTAACTTTGAGTTAAAAATATATAATATTTCTAATAAAATAATGATCATGGGAGAGTGTTGAAAGAGTGTCAATATTCGACACGTGTTGAAGACAGACACGGTACCTAAATTGAAGTATCTATGCAACACACAACTGTGTTATACCAATGACCAACAATAGCTTAGTACAAATAACTCCCTTAGTACCTTAGAAGTGACGATTCAGCGATTCCTATATTAAGATATATAGCCATCTCGACTAAATATCAAAGAAAGCCTTAAAATGAAAAAAAAAAGAACAAATTGACGAATTTCTTCTCCAATGGTAGTTGACGTGGACTATGAGAGCCTGATTATCGGAAAAGAAAACACACTGCGACGAAGGATGTCTTTTTGTGAGGTTGTGATGGACAGCGTCAATTGATTTTTTTTTATCAATCTATTTACATCCTCTCTCTCTCTCTCTCTCTCTCGCTCTCTCTCTCTCTCTCTCTACCGTCAACAATTGTAGCTCTCTCTCCTGTCCACACGTAGACAACATGCATCAATTCACAAAACCATTGGAGATGAATTTTCTGATTCAATGTGTATTCACTGCACGTAAAGGTGGAAGCTATCCATTTTTGTTGCCCCATAGACAGCAATCCACACAACCCATT